TATGATTCTTTTAAAACAGAATTTAATTTTGGAGACTACTTCAGGTGTGACCATTTGGTATGTACGTTAAGCTCTGGCCTTTGCCGTCTTGCTTATGAATTAAAGCAATCGCGTTCTTTGACAACCGGAGATGACGTTACTTCTCTTGACGATGACCATTACAGTATAACACTTTGCATGACTTTAATATTTAGAGTTTCTGAGACAAATTATGTCTTGTTTCTACCTCAAAATAACTTTTAACACTACTGGTTCTCGTTTAGCCCACGAACAAGAGGCCGTTTATAAGCACAGGGCTCAGTCAAAGCAAGAAATTGACTTCAATGTTGGGGACTCACTAAGTTATATCGCCGATCACTGGGATGGCTATATTTACGGTAGAAACTGCAGGACAAATCAAATGGGAGTATACCCATCTTATAAAGTTCGCGATAAATGGAACACCTACTAGAGTATATGTTTAAGTGTGAACAAAGCAATGGAATAAAACATATGAGAAATGGGCAAGAGCACTTTTACAAAGTCTGCTTGAGAAACTGTTTCAAAGTGCTAAAAGAAACAGTCCAACAGAGTATTTCTCTTTCACGCTGCCTTCTCTCTCACAGTAAAACAGGACGGTTATAATTAACAAATATTTTAGCATCCGGTTGACGTAATTTATCGTATCTAACCGTTTAGCTTTTCTCCTATCTTATTTATCGACTCTGAATCTTCCATTCTTGAAAATCAGTCTTCTGTACTATACAAGTTTTGTTTCAGCTTTTATTTATTTTGTCTGACTTCTCTCTACCGTATGCTGCTACTATTGCATGACTGACAGTAAAGGAATAAAACTCTATTTAGGTTTATGGTTTTTTAACTCTATTTTTAAAAGTGTAATTAGATAATATTCAAGAAAAGATATTATTAATAATGTTCTAAAATAAATTGTACAAATTTGTTTGGAAAACCTTCATTTTCTTATCGTATCTTGAATTAGTTTATGTGCGGTGCTTACTGATAAAAGTGAAGAAGTTCATAAATTGTTAAATGTCTTGTGCTCGTATATCTCCCGACTTCTGTCAATATGAAAAGACAGTGAAGAAGGTAAGTCAAAGACTAAAGACTATTTTTTCGAGGCTGAAGCAAAATTGTCAAGAAAAGGTAGCGCACAAATGGAAGCTCATAAGAAACCAGTTTAAACAAATTTGAAAGCGACGTTT